AACCTATGGTTCTTTATAATCTAATTTTTTCTAAAAATTTCTTAAACCGCTCAGTGTGTCGTCGCCTTATGTATGTAAACAGGTTATGTAGATGGGCTGGTCAGATTTTATATACTAAAATAAATACATCACTAATATATCTTGAAACTTATGTTTTTTTAATTTTTTACGAAAATTGCAAAAGAACGAACATAAAAGACACAGTTAAAATTCATTATGAAAAGTGTTTTTAACACAAAATAGGAGTTTTTAAACACGAATTAGTTCGTATTGTGAAGAATAGGCGCTAACCAGCTTCACTAATGATAGCTTTATCATAAACTAGCTTTCGCCAGCGACTCCGTCCGCGTGGTACTAAATAAACCAAATCAAGTAGCCTATGTGTTCTTCCAGACTATCGTCTACATGTATGCCAAATGTCATTGAGATCCGTCCAGCAGTTTAGGCTACAAACTCTAACAAACATCCATCCATCCAGCTATCTAAACTTTCACATTTATAATATTAGTATGAAGTTTGATTTAAAAGGTGTGATACCCATTTTATGAATATTACGAATCTAGATAGATCTGTCAGTTTCCTATAAATAGATTACAATGCGGCGTTCGTTTATTGAATTTACCAGTGGAAAAGGGACGCGCAATTAAATTTTAGCTGCAGCTGTGATATTTCCGTTTTTTAGTTTTTTACGTTAGATATTTCTCGTGAAATTGTATAAAGAATAAAAGTAGGCAGAACTATTGTTGTCCCTATAAATGATTACAATTAAAAACTGATCGGTGTCTATGGTTTCGATCGCGGGCGTTTGTCGTCAAATAAAACATGATTTACATAAACCAAAAACATGAATCTGTTGATAGTAGTAATGTAAGACCCTCTGTACACAAGAAGACGCGATTTTAGTCTCCGAGCGATTTACGCAATTCAATCTCATAGAGGTTCGTACATAATTACGTAACGGAGACATTTGACATTGTATGACGTAAACCATATATAGCTTTGCGTTGCTTTGTGTACAAAGAGCCTTAAAATTGTTTAAAGCAATACCAGCTTTCGTCCGCGACTCTGTCCGCGTCGAATTAAAACAGATAAAAGTAAGTACCCTATGTGTTCTTCCAAACTAACCTCTACATCTGTACCAAATTTCATCTAGATCGATTAAACCGTTCAGGCTACAGACATATAAACATCCATCCATCAATACACACTTTCGCGTTTATAACATAAGTAAGATTTCAGTCTGAATTTTTTGACAAATACCGTACGAATGATTTAAATTAGAATAGGCGGTATGTTAATGAAGCACAGGAGGAATATGCTAATTTCCGTGGGAGAGCTCGTCAAACTTTTTAATCTCATGTGACGTCGTCCCCCGCGGCACCTCCCCCGCGCTGTCAGGGATGATTGAAAGCGGCTCATTTGTATTTTTATTACTTTTTAATTTTTTCCCCATTTTCTCGAGTGTCTCCAACACATTCTTTTGTTGGTTTGCGTTTTATTTATTTTAAGTGATTACTTAAAAATTGGAAATAATAACACTTCAAATTAGTTACTAACTTTTTGTT